CTCTCGGAACCCAGGGAGGGGTCGGGCGCCGCAGAGTCCCCGGAACCCAGCGGCGCAGATCGTTCTGGCGACCCCCTTCTCTGCTATCGGATTAGTCCGCACCCGGCACCTGTCCTGTCGCAACGCTGATTAAAATTCCAGCTGGCCCTTGTCCCTGAGCCCGGCCGGAGGAGGGAGAGGAGTGCTGGGAGCGGTTTTGCTCCCAGAGGGGGGTCAGGAGTCCCAGACCGCGTGGTTGCCAGCGACGGCCCCCTGGGTGAGGATAGGGAGGGGCTGCTCCAGAGGGCTCCCTGCCATCTGCTGCCTGAGTCTCCCTTGCTCTGGTCCCGGGAGCCATCGGCAGAGCCAGCCCTGGGGAGTCCTGGGAACTGAAGTTTCTTAAGCTTCTCCCTCCCGAGGTTAACCTGCTAACGGAGATGAAGAACTGGGCAGACGCTCTGCCCTGCCCCTTCCCTCTCAGGGTGGGGACGGGGAAGTGAAGCCTGGCCCGCACAACCTACCAAACCTCAGCCGGAAAGTCTGAATGGGGTTGTGTGCCCCCTTTGGCTCCTGTGCTTGAACCCCTCACTTGTTTCTGGTCCCCTCGTTCTAGCAGAACTCTTGTACTCATCACTTAGACTCAGACTGAAAGAGACTGGGTGGGCTTCAGTGTATTTAGGAGCCCCCGCCTCCCAAATTTCAGGCAAAACGTTAGTGCTTATGCAGGGGTGGGATTTCCTGAGTAGGGCTCTCTGGCTGCCAGCAGGTTGAGACAGCTGCAGCAGCTCTGCTGGAATTGCACCTGGGTGTGCATTCCAGGCCTGGGAGTAGACACACAGATAAGCTTTAGGCAGCAGAAGTTATTAAAGGCTGTTGGACAGAGTTGGACATCTTTAGTAATTGTTGAAAATTACCCTTCTGCTCATTCCTCCTCCTGCCTATCCCAGAATGAGGGACGCTTTCCCTCTCAACCTGAGTTCCCCCAGCTTTGCTATTTGTAGACTTCGTTCGGGAAGCTCTTCCCAGATGTTCCCTGGCCTCTTGTCAGTGGGTGCCTGAATGTGGGCAGCAGTTGGGAGGCTAGGTCAGAAACAGCAGGGGGCTGCAGAGGCCTTGGTGATAAGTGTGTTTCTTTCTTTCTCTCCTCTTCCTCCTCTCCTGCATGGCCTTCCTCTCTACCAGCACTGGAAAGTCCTGTTTGATCAGGTATGTGAGCAGTTAAATGCCCCCCTCCTTCCTTCCAATCCTCCCGGCAATCAGTCTTCCTGCTTGCGTGGGCTTCCCTAGCTCTGCACTCCTGAGATGGTGACGTGGGGTGGGGGTGTGGCTTAACGCATCTCTGGGACCAAAGGAACAGCAATGCTCTCCACTGCTCTCCAGGTTTCAGGAGGAGGTGGAGGGGGCTCCCCTGAGAGATCTTTCCCTCCCTCCTCCTCCCAACTCCACTTCACCAGAGCCGGCTTTATACCATGGAGAAATCGGACAATATGTAGTATTGAAGCCTGGGACCTTCTCCATATGCCAGGGGATTGCAGTTGGGGCTGGGAAGGTGGGGGAAGGGCCTATGTTAACATCCCCTCTCCTTTTCTACCTCCACCACCAAAGATCCACGGCCACCACTGAAGTAAAATCTCTGCCATCCTTGGAGGGTGACTCACAATATGAGCATTTTTTTTAAATTGAAGTTTAGTTGATTTACAACATGTGTTAGTTTCTGGTGTAAAGCATACCCATTCAGTCATATATATATATATATATATATATGCATACTCTTTTTCATTATAGGTTATTACAAGATATTGAATATAGTTCCCTGTGCTATACTTTTAAGACCTTGTTTATCTTTTTTATATGTAGTAGTCTGTATCTGCTAATCCCAAACTCCTAATTTATCCCTCCCTCTCCCTCTTCCCCTTGGTAACCATAAGTTTGTTTTCTATGTCTGCGAGTCTGTTTCTGTTTCATAAATAAGTTCATTTGTCACAATATGAGCACTTATGAAAGCTGACTCTAATTTTGCCGCAGGGATGCGAGATTTATAGATGGAAAATGGTACATGATTGTTTACAATGCCTAGAGTCTAGGTGTGGGGAATGGAGTTGGAAGTGCCACATGTTGGCTTTGGAACCTGAAGATGGACATTTGACCTTCAGCAAAGAAATGGTTTTCTTCTTTGCTTGGTACTCCTGTTGCATGCAGTTGTGTGTTTCTTTCTCCCTCCCGGGTTCGTGATACAGAAGGAGAGGAGGCAAGAGCTGTCTCAGTGCAGGGGAGGAATGAACGCTGAGGTCCTGGGGTGAGAATGATTACACCAAGAAGCTTGTGTGACTTTAAGAGACCAGTCTGGTTGAGCCAGAGGAAATGTACTGGGTTGGAGAGAGAGATAAAGCTGAAAAAGTACCATTGGAGGTAGGAGAAGCCTCTGAAGGTTTTTTAGCAGGTTTGTTACAAGAGCCAGGCACTGCTTTGGGTAGATCCTGAGTGAGTGGGATAGAAGTCAGGTGGGTTGCAGGGAAGAGAGAAATTAGCCAGGAGCCTGTGGCTATGATTGGATACAAGCACCTTGACTTGGAAGATGATGGTAGGAAAGGAAGGAAAGAGGGACATGGCAGTGGGAGGACTGGAAGCCCTTATTAGACCCTAATAGATGAAAGGACCCGTTCTGAGATTCTGAACCAAGGAGGAAAAGGAAAATTCAGGGTCGGGGTTGGGGGAGGTTGCAAAATTCGGTTTCAGAGCAGTTCAGCTTGAGGAGCCCCGTAAATGCGGATGGCCAAGTGGGACTGAAAACACGGAATTCAGCTTGAAAGACATGCTGGACCTGGGGCGTCATCCACCCTAACATGAGGCCCGGCAGTGGCTTGGGAAGCATCCAGCATCTCCTGTCCCTCTGGGGTGGCGCACCTCTCCCTGGCTCCCGAGTGCCACCCACTCTCCCTCCGGCTCCTAAGAGTGCAGCAGCGGCTGGCCTGACGCCCCGAGGCAGGAGGGGGCCGCCTGCTGCCTCTGATACCACGACCAGCAAGCTGCCAGCCCTTCACACCTCCTGCCAGATTTAGCACCGAAACCTAGAACAAAGTGTATCATTCTTCTTTCCCTCTGTCTGTGTCTGTCTTTCTCATTTGATTCATTTTCTTTGCCAGTCCCTGTGTGTGTGTTTACATTTTAAAAGGAACTATTTGGGTGAACGGAGGAAAACTTTCAGTTGGAAGAATTTGGAACTTGAGGGAGCAGAGAGTATATGTAGCCCCTGATATCCCTGGGTGATCTATGAAATCCAGTTTTTCCCTCTCGAGGGAGACCCTGGGTGTCACATGGAGCACCCCCCGGCTTCTGGGAAGGGCTACCCAGAAACCATTCTGGACAGACAAAATCAATTCTGGGAAAGGAACTCCCGAAACTTACTCTGGACAGTTTTTTCTCACGATTGGTTCCGCCTTGTGTCTGTACTGCCCACCCCTAAGAGGCATTAGAAGCCTCTTTCTATTATCTTCTTGACCTCTGGGAGATATCCACTCTGTGTCTGTTCCCCTACTTTCTGGAGCCACTCTGGACCGTTCCCCTGATAGGGCTGAATGAAGAGAAGGTATGAAGCCTCACAAATGGACGCACAACTTCAAACAGACGCCGGGTTATTCAGAAAATGGAAGGTTTCGTCCTCTCTGCCTCTTCCTTTGGGCTTATTTAAAGGAAAGATTTGGTGATGGCAAACTTGGTGCACTCAGGAAAGCATGTTTGGCCGGAGGTTGCAGGCAGCCTCCCCACAATTTCTTGCAGACGTTGATGGCTCTGATGGGGCGAACTGTGCTGAATGGAGTGGGATTCACATGACACCTGTCAGAATCCCTGCAAGTTAATGTGGCCCCGGAGCTCACCTTCCAGAGGCCATTGGGTTGGGAGGCTATCCCCAGTCGGTCTTCCTTCCCTTCCTGGGTCAAGATGACGGATACCAGCGGTTGTGGTTTCAAACTGGGGTCTGCTGGGACCTTTTCCCAGGTGTTAGGGATGGAATTGGGCCAGTTCTTCTGTGCTCTCTGATTCTTCAGCATGTAGAGTAGCTTTGACCCAACAGGAAGCTAATTGGACCCAAGGACTAGAAGCTATGACCTTGGTCTTTTGGTCCTATGTGGTCATCCCTCATCTGAATGGCCACATTGCCTTTTGAGAAGTTGGAGGTGAAGAAAACAGGTGACCCCAGCCCCTTGGAAGTTTACCTGGCCGCCCCCTTCCACCCTCCCCAGCATCCTGGGCATTTGTCAGGTCTGCTTAAGCAGGGGTGTAACACGCCACCCTCCTCACCCCCCTCCCTGTGCTTCCACACCAGTCCCAGAAGTCACAGCAGGCAGAAAACCAAAAGCTCATCACTTCGGCCCCCAGATGTTCCAGGGGCTTGTTTCCTGTTTGAACTTCTCCTTGAGGAAATTGTCTTCCCACATCCTTGGGATCTTAATGGTTTTCCTAAGTACTGGATTTTAAAGTTACCGTAAATACTAACCTGTTGTTAGTGTAATTTCGTGGTTAAAAAGGTCCTCTTTGCCTATAGTTGAATCTGTTGGGCTTTTCCTTCACGATTCCTTCTGTTGCTTCGGAGCTAAGACAGTTCTCTTTCCTCTCCAGATCTCATAAATATGCGCCTCTATTTTCTACCACTTTTTCTCTGATTAAAAAAAATCGTCTAATCTTTTAGTCCATCCAGATCCTATTCCAAACCAGTTACACTAGCATCACCGATTAAGAAACCCTTCCTTCCTTTATATATTGTTTGAGAAATTTTATCATTTGGTAAATCTTTGTGTGTGGTTGAGTTTATTTTTGATTTCTCATCTATTCCCCGATATTTACCATTTTGCTCAGGTAGCATGTCCTTTGGTTATTGCTCTATATTTGTTCTGCAAGCTCCTCTTTTTCAGGTTATGCTTTGATAGTCTCACTCTCAGTCCCTTCCAGAACTCCAGGGAGGTGCCCTCAAGAGCCCAAGGTCAAATAGCAGATAAGAGACTGGAGCCCATTAACCCTTACAGGGCTTCCGGGGTTGGAAAACCATTTCCAGGTTCACACTTAAAAATGCCTTCAAGATCTCTGAATGTTTAGTGAGCAAGAGGGCTTGGAGCAGAGTTCTGTTAAGTCAACAAAGCACAATTGTTTTCCAAGCTCCAACAAACAGGAGGGAAAAGGGAGAATGAAAGGACCTTGATCGTATCTCCCTTTCCCCTTTCCTTGGGAGCATGCATTTCCCAGACTCCAAGAAGAGACCCTAGCTTCACAAATCTCCCGGAAGTCTTGACTGTCCCTCCAAAATTATGATCGTGCTATGACCACAACCTGGGTCTGCTTAGGTGGGCTGAGGGGGAGAACCCTGGCTGTGGGGTCAGATAGACCGGCGTTCAGGACTTACTGGCTTTGTGATAGGAGTCAAGTGACATTAGCTCTCTGAGCCTCAATTTCTTCATCTCTAAAATGGGGATAATCATCTTTAACTTCTGTGGGAGTTAAATAGAAGTGGAAACTCTTCGTAGTGTCTGATACCCAGTGGACTTTTCACAGCTGTCATTTGACTGGGAATCAGAATTTAGTGGAAGAGACACAGGGCCACTTCTGAGACCCGGGCTTCCCTGGGGAAGGTGGCTGTCTCTCTAAACCAGCTCCTTCCGAGTCCCGGCTCCTGGAGAAAGCCACTCCTGCACCCAGAGGGTTTTTCTGCTTGCTTTCCCTTAGTGTCTCCCCTGTCCAACCCCCTTGTCTCCAGCCTGAGGAAGGTCTTCCCTTAGCCTGACCCTAAGGTCTACCTCATTTACAGTGCTGGAGGCTGGCTTAAGAGGGTTCTGGGAGCTGAAAGGAGGTTGACATAAGACCGCTGAACGGCTTAGTGAGAAAACACCTGCCCCAGAGACGGGGCATTGGTGGTGCCCTCATATCACAGGATTAACCAGCAGAGAGGGGTTCCCTTGCTCGTGCTCTGCACCTCCAACCCCTTCTCTGGTGGCCTCCAGACTTGAGAGTCTATGGACTTGCTTCCACCACAAAGCCAGCTTTGCTGCCCTGCTCCTGCCCCAGTGACCCCAGCAGTCAGGCTGAATTAACCCTTTTATCCCCAACACTGACCACTCCCACAAATACATTCGATGGCAGTTGAGCAGTGGGGCCGTGGGCTCTGAGACTGTATGCTGCCTGGCTGCCTGCCTGACACACACATGCTGGAATGAACA